ACTTATAGAGGCATGAGAGGCAGGCAGCGTTTAGAAAATGAGTAGAAGTCAGGAATCTGAAGGAAGGAATTGCAGGAACGGACACAGACAGGGTTCTCCAGATAAAGCGCAAAGGATATTGAAAACCCAGAGTTTACTTCCTGTGCCCGTGAAAGTCACTTGAAGAATTTAAGCTTGGGAATAACAGAATCATATTTGCGTTTTGGCAGGAGACTAGAGTTGAAACTACTTTAAGGAGGTAAATTAGAAGACTACTGAAATAATCAAGATGGATAAGGTAGATTGAGTTGGGAAGGAAATGGTGAATGTAATGTGATTCCTGGAGCTGTAGCTGAGGGTGTTATTGAATTGTTCAACTAGTTTTCATTCCCTTCTAGGTCCGAGGTAGTCTAGGAACAAACACCGTCAGTTCCATCTTGGCTATATCAGGGATCTTAATCAGTGCAATAAGCATGAGTGTTTATTCATGCCATCGCCCTTAGTGCCACTATCACTGTAAGACAGAAGAAAACTGTGGCATGACTATGTCCATTTTAATGGTGAGTGTTTCCTCGTTTCATAAGATACTATGGTGAAAGCACATCTGGGGGATGGTGGTTTTGGCAAAGACAATAATCAATATTCTGTAATTGCTGAATGACTTTGGGAAGTTGAAGGTGATTGAAAAATAAAACAATCTTTCATTTGGGAGTCAGGTCCACATCTCATCTCTGTCTTTATTCCTCCTCTATATGTTATGAGGCAGAATGGGAAGAAAGCTTATAGTTATAAAACACTTACTCTTTAATGGTTACTGTGCTGATGCCAGTCAGTATGTACTGTTATCTCCTCTAAAAAATGGAGCCAAGATGTAAGTTCCTGCATGTCGCCAGGGTTTCCTGATGGAGCTTGATAGAGTTACAAGATTCTCCTATAACACATTAAAATTACCTTACAGGCGATGGGTAATCCAGTATCCTTTTCAGCATCTCTGAATGTTCTTGCAAGGTTAACTACTTCTAACTTCAATATCTAGCTTCTAGAAAATTCTCAATATCCATTCGAATTTTACTGGTGTTTTGGTACCAATTTACCTTATCTCAATGCTATCCTAATTGCTTTATTCTGAAAATTGTCCTTTGTGCTAGATTTTGTAGGTAGTAAAACTTATTGAAGCTAGCACTCTTGGAGACATAAGAAAGACAACAGCTCCCTACCGTAAAGAAACTCCAGTTTCTCCTGGGAGAAAAAGATAGAAATACTGGGAAGAATATAATTACAAAAAGAGGTTAGAAAAAGGTGAGCTCTTCGTAGGGAACAGTAACCAGAGAATTGGAATCATTAGACAGAACTATATGAAATTGCCAGCTATACTTGACCTAGAAAGATGGCAGTTTCACATGGCTCAAACTAAGATATTATATATGTACATATAATATACATGTATATGTATATTGCTGCTTTTTATTGGAAGCCTCGCCTCATACCTGTTTTTGTAAATAACTTTTAATTGAAATGTAGCCAAGCCCATGTGCTTACTTATTGTGCAATGCTATTTTTGTGTTCTGATGGCAGAGTTTACTATTTGTCGCCGAGACCTTATGGTTTGCAAAACCTAAAATATATTCTATTTGGCCTTCTGGACCTGTAACAATGCTTGAAATATATGTAGAGGCTACTGCCTTTGCTGAAGGCATGAGCAAAGAAATAAGTCATGGATGTAAATATTCTCAAAGTCCCCTTGAGTCCACATCACTTATAATCTGAGATCCTGGTCTGCTGGCTCTTTCCCAGCAGAGGGATTGGCCCTCAGCATGAAGAGAAAAAGGGAAAATATTTCAACCAAAGTATCTCCCTCCTCAACCCATGAGAAGATGATTAGGAATGAATGTACAGACCAATGTCCCCCAAATTTGACCATGTGTTTTAGTTAAAGACTAGACCTAAAACCAATTATCTCAGGAGGTGGATTAAAGACTGACTGACTTGGTGTTTCTTGTTTCATTAGTTTCTTATTGTTGCTGTAATAAACTACCGTGCATTCAGTGGCTCAAGACAATACAAATTGATTTTCATTTTATATTTCTGGAGGGCAGAAGTTCAAAATAGGTCTTACTAGGATAAAAATCATTCACAAAACTGTGTTCCTTTCTAAAAACTCAAGGTAACAGTTTTCTTACCTTTTCTGGCTTCTGGAGGCTGCTTACATTGTTTGGTTTGTCACCCCATCCTGTATCTTCAAATAAATAGTGCAGTATCTTCAAATCTCTCTTGAACTCTGACTCTTCTTTCTCTTGCTTCCACTTGTAAGGATTCTGTCATTATTTTGAGCCCACCTAAACAATACAGGGTGATTCTTTCATGTCAGCTAATTTCATCTGCAAATTTAATTCTTCTTTGCCACATAAACTGACACATTCACAGGTTCTGGGGTTTAGGGTTCTGACCTCCCTGGGAGACCATTATTCTGCTTACAATCACTAAGATATGAAATCATATTATAATGTCAACTGCATTAATTTCTAGCACTTTTTAAAATATATATTTTTTATTTTAAAACTGTGGGGTACAGTTAAGGGTTAGGTATACAAATATGCATTGTGTAGGTACACTTGTTGATGAGGTGTGCCCCTCCTTCTCCAGACAGATATTGACTACCATTAATCCCACTTCCCTTCCCCTCCTTGCCCCTCCCCCACAGTTTCCCGCCACTGTCCATCCTTTTCTTATAGTATTATGGTAGTTGTTCAAGGTCCACTTATGAGTGAAAACGTGATACTCGGATCTTGGTTTCTGTGAGAGATGACTCAGTATTATAAACTCTAATTCCATCCAGGTTGCTGCAAAATTCATGATTTTGTTCTTTTTTATAGCTGCATAATATTCCATTGTGTATACATACCACATTTTTTTAATCCAGTCCTCTTTTGAGGCACAGCATGGTTGGTTCCATGATCTTGCTATTGTAAACAATGCTGAGATAAACATACATGTGCAGGTATCTTTTTTATAGAGTGATTTGAGTTTTTCCAGGTATATTCCCAGTAGGGGGATTGCGGGGTCATAAGGAAGGTCAATTTTTAGAGCTTTTAGGAATTGCCACACTGATTTCCACAGAGGTTGCACTAGTTTACACTCCCACCAACAGTGTAACAGCATTCCCTTTTCACCACATCTTCTCTAGCATGTTATTTTTTGAGTTACTGATAATGGCCATTCTGACTGGAGTTAGGTGGCATCTCAGTGTAGTTTTAATTTGCATCTCCTTGATGACTAGTGAGGTTGAACATTTCTTCATGTATCTGTTGGCCGCTCATATGTCTTCTTTTGAGAAGTGTCTGTTCATATCTTTTGCCCACTTTGTAATGGGGCTGTTTGTTTTTTTTCTTTTCAGCACATTTGAGTTCCTTGTAGATCCTTGATGTTAGGCCTTTGTCAGACATGGAGTTAGCAAATACTTTTTCCCAGTCTGTGGGCTGTCTCCCTGCTCTCTTGATGGTTTCTTTGGCTTTGCAGAAGCTTGTCAGTTTGATAAGGTCCCACTTGCCTATTTTATCTCTTATGGCATGGGCACTTGGGGTTTTGATCAGGAATTGGTTGCAAGTTCCAATTTCCATGAGAGTGTCTCCTGCATTTTCTAAGGCTTTTTCTAAAATCTCAAGGTGACAGTTTTCTTATCTTTTCTGGCTGATGTATTCACAGGTTCTGGAGATTAGGGTGCAGGCCTCCCTGGGAGACCATTATTCTGCTTACAATCACTAAGATATGAAATCATATTATAATGTCAATGGTATTAATTTCTAGTAGCTAAAAGGACTAAGAAGACAATTATCTGTATAATCTTTGCCCCCATTTTCAAAGCACTTTCATATTCTGTGCCCACAGTAGCATGGAATAGTAGTGGACTGGGGGAAAACTCTGTTAACTATTTTATCAGACAACAAAAGGTGGAAGTGACATTCAGCAGACCAAGAATTGGCCTAGGGTATGAATGCAATTTAGAATGAGATTTCCTGACCCTAGGCCAGTGCTTTTTCTCTTTTGACATTGTAATTACAGGTCAGGTCTGGAACTTGTCATCTCTGTTCTTCATATCTTTTTTGTTATAAATCTTCTTATATTTTTTTTTTTAGGGTATGGATGGCATAGTGGTCATTTTAAGTGCATTGGAATTCTGTGTCTCTGTCTCTCTCTCTGCCTTTGGATGCAAAGTAATGTGTTATAACCCCGGTGGGGTGAGTATTGGCTTTCATTTGAAGATGTCTGTATTTGTTTTCTATTGCTGTATAATCAATTATACAAACTTAGAGGCTCACACCAACACATGTCTGTTATTTCTGTTTCTATGGGTCTAGAGTCTGGGCACACCTGAAGTAAGTCCTCACATGGGAACCACGAAGTTAGTTGGGACTATGATTTCATCAGAAGTCTCTTCCATGCTCACCTGGCAGAATTCATTTCTTCTCAGCTGTAGAACTGTGGCAATGTACTGTTGCTTGAGGCTAGCCAGAGAGTGAAAATCTCATGCTTCGAGTCTTTTTTTTTGTTTTAAGAACTCACATTAGGTTAGGTCCATCCAGAATAATGCCTTTTTTGATAAATTCCAAGTCAACTGATCAGTACTACTCACAGGTGTGATATCCCATCTTATACTTTTGTGCCATCCACACTCAAAAGGAAGGAATCACAAGAGCACAGGCCATTGAGTGTCAACTTAGAATTCTTCCTACCACAACCGCTCAAGCAAAGCTATTTTTCTTCATCCTTTCTCCCACGAAGGGTTCCCTTCTGAATCCAGATCAGAGAACAAACACTTCACAATGGAAAAATCCCCATGGAGTGCTGGGATTTTAATCCAATATCCCCCTACAACAACCTTTCCTGGGCTACTGAAGAAACACCAGGATTTCCAACCTCTCTATCAGGCTGTGTATGCCTTCCTGCTCTCCACCCTGAGACCTGAGCAGATCTTCCCAATAGCCAAGCAGAAAGAATGTCAGACAGAGAATGGGAATGGAAAGTAGAAGAAGAAACTAAGAATGAGGCACTAGGAAGAATAGGGCAGGGTTCCAAAGTGAGGAAATGGATGGCAAAACCCCAACAGCTACCCATTATCTTCATTACCCAAAGTCCCAGGGGCAGGCAAAACCACCAGCCAAACAATAATAGTTTGGTGAGATTGTCTTTCTGTCACCCTTTTCCATCGTTTTGCACTTTTCTGTCTTCCTTTGGGGCTCCCAGACAACACTGCATCTCACACTCCATAGCCCTTCCTCACAAAAGAGAGACAGACTAAATCACATTAACTCTAACAGTGGGTTTCTGCATCGTAAGACCCTAGACGTGAGAGTTTCTCAGCAATTACCAATGATTTTGTGATGTCATAGAGTGAAGCTTTTTATTTTCATTGAATCACACATTTGGGCATGTGCGCAAATGCCTTAGTTACTGTCTTATCATAGTATTTAGGCCTGTGTTCCCTTTGGTTCCTAGTGCAGGAGCTGGGGAATGTTGTTCCCAATAATCTCTTGGTATGAATCTGGAAGAGCAGTGGCTTTGGGGGGTATAATGCCTAAGTTTCTGTCACTTCCTGGTTTCCCCACCACTCCTCACCAACTCCATATCACACTGAGTTTGTGGAAGAAGGACCAGAATTTTTCATAGTTTCATGATGGCCCCTGCTATTCTGGGTTGGGGTGGTTTTAGCAATGTTTACTCATAACCAGCACACCATGTTTTGGGTATGCTGTTGTCATCAGCATGAGCAAGCTGGTCTGGAAGAAGACAGCCACAGTTTTCATGACATCTTGGTTTACCCAACCCATTGGGCACCATCATCCACATGTAAGATTTATCCCTTTGCAAGACCACAGCAACAGACATCAGCATCTCAGGCTGACAGCTATCACTGAGTGTGTGTTCTAAATCTGGCCTGATCTAAGAGGTGTTTGAGAAGCACCAGCCAACTGATCTAGAGAATGAATTCAGAGAAGAAAGCTTGAACTCAGATAACGATGGCATTATGTAAGCAGGAAAGGGAAAGTTTGGGGTTACTTGAGTGGCTCACCTATGGTGTTCTGATTGACTTCACAGGTGTTAATTCGGCCACCAAATCCTCACGTGGCAGCAACAGGTTCTCCTGCACCATTTAAAGAAAGTTTTATGCCACCAACAGATCAACAGAAAAATTTTCCAGAAAACCCATGCTGACTGTCATGAAAGAACCCCACATGAGAAAGTACCAGAATCCAACTCTGATATTGATAGATATATTGATAGTATACCTATAGTCCAACTATGAATTGTATATAATAAATCCCAAATCATGCTTTAATTTTTCCCAAGAATGCAATGACTAATTTCACAGACTCTTTATCAGATTATTAGAAGTTAAATAAATAAATCATGTATGAATGAGGCAACAGCACTTGAAAGTTTTTTATTCATCATTAGGACTTTATATAAAGGGCATTAAATTGGAAAATCAGATTTGGCAGCAGAAAGACAAAAAGGTATTGCTGAAATGAGGCCGTCATGAAAAACACACATCCCTGCTTCCCTGGTACTCCTCCCACTTGTTTGTCTGTTTTCTCCCATCTTGGGGGACACAAAGCGCTGTTTCCTTCAGGAAACTGAGATACATGGCTCCACGCTCCTTTCTTTCTCTTGTTTTCCTTCTCCCACAGAAAGTGCATTAGAATAACACAGTCAGTCCTTGAGTATAAATATACATGGAGTCAAAGTCATATTGTAAATCAGATTCAACTTGCATTTTCTATCTATTTCTCTCTTTTCTTCCTTTTATCTCCCCCTACCTTCCACTGGACAGAATTATATCTTAATCAAATTGATATCCAGTGCCCTATATGAAAAAGTGCAACACGTGGCATTTGCTAAATGGTCATTAAAACTATTTGTGTTTTTATTACAGAGCACAAATACATTAAATAAAATTAAAATTGGCTGGGTGTGGTGTCTCAGTCTGTAATCCCAGCACTTTGGGAGGCCAAGGTGAGAGGATTGCCTGAGGCCAGGAGTTCAAGACCAGCCTGGACAACTTGGCAAGACCTTGCCTCTACAATAAATCACAAAAGTTAGCTGGGTGTGGTGATGTGTGTCTGTAGTTCCAGCTACTCGGAAGACTGAGGTGGAAGAATTGCCTAAGCCCAGCAGGTTGAGGCTACGGCGGCCGTGAGCGTGCCACTGCACTCCAGCCTGGGCAACAGAGTGAGACTCCAACTCAATAAATAAATAAATACAAAAATAAAATAAGATTAGAATTATGATATTCATGTGCTACCTAGTTCAGATGCAATATGATGGAAAGAGACTGCTGAGGTCGGAAAATGGAGTATGGTGACAATGAACGTGGACTTTCTAACAAGACAACCTCGGGTTTTTGTCTTGAGCTTGTATCTTCCTTAAATCCTGCCTGTGTAGCTGTGGACGTGCTGCAAAATTTCTCAGTGCTTAATATTTCTCTTGAGGAACATAGTAATAATACTATCTGCCTTATAGACCTGTGATAATTACTTGGTATAAGATAGGTAGAGCAACCTGTACTCTGCCAGGTACATATTAAGCCTCAAAAGGCTTAATTTACATACATACATCAATATATTTGCATATATATGCATTTATACATATATCAATTCCTCATGCT